TCTCTCTCTCTCTCTCTCTCTCTCTCTCTCTGTGTGTGTGCAAGCTTGCTATGCTCATGTGGTCAGTGGACCAAGTTCAGGAGTCAGTTCCCTTCTTCCACCACAGGCATCAAATTCAGGTCACCAGGTTTAGTGGGAGGCACCTTTTTAGCCATCTTGCTAGCCCCTCTATGTTTTGTGACAGCCAGAAGCTATTATTTTCAGGTTGGGAACTGGAATTCTAGTTTTGCTTTTAAAGAAAGTGATTTTAGAGACATACAATAAAACATTGTGGACCATATTAGAGAGTATTGTGGATCTAATTCAAATTAATCAGGGTAGAATAAGGAGTAGAGGCTTGGATGGAACAAGATTGACTGCAGCATGGTCATCCTTGAGGCTAGTCAGTAGGCACTTGGTGACATCATTTTATCATTCCCTGTAACTTTGTTTAAGTTTAAGCTGCTTACATGAATTTTTTTTTTTTTAACAAAACCCCACTGGTTTTATTTCCATCCCATTGGGCAGGGCTCAGCAGGGCAGGGAGCAGGCTCTCATAGAGGGAAGAGGCCTCTACTCTACTTGCTGGCGATGAGCGGGTTCCGCAGCACCACCAATGACTGAATCCCCGTGCAGGAACATCTTGGAGATGTAGCGATCCTTGTTGACAGGCTTGGACTTCTTTTTACTCTTACCACTCTTGGGGACCTCTGTCCACATCTCCTTCACGTTCTTCAGCACCATGTTGCAGTGCCTGTCAAAGGCCTTCACCCGTCCCAGGAGCTTCCTGGTGTTGCGACAGTTATATGAGCCCTTGTGTGTTGTTCTTGACTGCCTGTGTGAGGACCGGGAGGGGACCTGTGTTGAATTCCTCTTCCCCCTTCTGCAGCTCCTCTGCGGTCACCTCACTCTTGAGTTTATTGAGGAGACTCTTGGTGGAGGTTTCGCTCGCAGATCACTCCCGAGTCTGCCATGTTCACATGAAAACTTTTAATGGAAGTTTTCCAAAGGAGATATGAACGTAGATAACCAAGTGTTTCAAAGAACAGGTGTAGTGTCTAAGAAATCTAGAAGAAAAGGAAAGGCTAGAAGATAGCTAGAAAAAAGAGATAAGCTTTCTTTAAGGACATTGTAGGCAGAGTGACATAAAAAGACTTTCATTTTGTAGGTTCTTATGCTTCTTGTTACAGCACTGTCCTTTTTTCTTTACTTGCTAATTTAGTGCCCAGGTCAAAAGAAATCATGTCCTGCTTATCTTTAGTTCCCAGCATTTAGCTTAGCACCTACCTGTCTTAATAATACTTGTTGAGAGATGAATTAATGAATGAGTGAAATCAAACAAGCAAAAAAATTCTTTGAAACAGTTTTTGTTTGTTTGTTTTTGCCCAAAGAGAATCTGATGGTTTTGTTTGTTTGTTTGAGACAACCGCACTATGTAGCCCTGGCTTGCCTAGAACTTGCTATGTAGACCAGGCTGGCCTCGAACTTGAAGCTATCCTCTTCCCTCTGCCTCTGGAATGCTAGCATTACAGGTGTACACCATTCCATCTGGTTTGTCAAGGACTGATTGGATCTATTTGAGTTCATGGAATCAATATCCCTGGCACATTTAAAAACAAAACAGAAACAGATCACCCCCGCAAACTAATTTCTAGTGAGAGAAATTCCAGTTGCTTATTGATGTTTTTCTTTTCTTTAATTGCTAAACTGACACCCAAAGTTGGCTAAATGTAGGGCCTTTAGAGAAACTTTGGACAGTCTTTGGGAAGGCATGCTTGGGAAGTGAGCTCTGATTAGTTTATAGAAGTTCTTGGCCTTATTTACTGAAAACCAGATGGAGTTAGAATTAATGCCGCGGTGGTCCTTTCCAACCCCAGTGTGATCGATTGTTTTTGTACTGTGTAGCCTGTAGGTGGTACAATGCTGCCACCTATGGGACAGAGTCAAACTTGAAATACCACATAAATGCTGTTTAAAATGCACACTTAATGCTTTGATGACTTTTTAAACTTAGTGACTGTCTCTCAAATTTAAATTTTATAGGTATCTAAATTGTCTCTACCTCCAAAGGACAGGTGTGTGGAAGTGTGGATGAATATGTCTTCACTAACTTTTGGTTTTATTAGAACCATGGGGACACAGAACTGAGGTGGATTTACAGTTTGGGCTGGGAAGGTACCTAACACACGAAAACACAGTCAAACCAGCGCTTTAGGCTTAGCTCAGCGCTGGTTCCAGAAATGGCCCTTATAAAAAGCAGGATCATGAGCTGAGTCAAATAAAACTGTGATGTGGTAGGACAGAGGTTGGGGGACTTCAGAGGATCCATTCCAGTCTTGCCCATTATCTTACTCCAAGTTCAGTATTGCTCTCTCTCTCTCTCTTTTTTAAGTGCCAAGGATGGAGTTTAGGGTTGAATACATATGAGGTAGGCAGTCTAATCTATCACTGAGCTATGTCCTCAGCGGTAGGCTTAGTAAATTAATGTCTTCACTCTGAGAGCAGCCTGCAAACTTTTTGAAATAATACTATCAAAATATTTGAGCATAGTCTCTTCTTATGACTTTAACAATGAGATAAACATAGATGATTCTGTGATCATAGTGATTGAAGCGGATCTGTGACATCGCAGTGGCTCAGGAGCAGGCTGGCCTTAGTGGGGGCTTTAGGTCTCAGCTGCCTCGGCTGTGTGTACCTCTGTGTCTGCTTGCTCAGCAGGAAAAAAGAATAATCCTCCAGAAGCTTACTACAAGGACCAAACATTGGTTGTGTGGCCACGTCTGAAACATAGATCTGAAGATCCACTCACTGCCTTTGCTGTAATCGTTAATATTTCTGCATCTCAAAAGTCTGATGGTTTTAGGCATTTGCTTGGCTTTGTGTCATTTTGTTCAGTGCGTCCTATGCTGAGCAAGGGGAGGGGAGAGTGGTCCAGCATGTTTCACTCTGTCCTTTGGTTCTGTCAGGTCTGTATTAGTCTCTGCAGGAACCCATTTAAGCCATTTAGTTAAAAAAAAAATTGAGCTATGATAATCATATAGTGCAGAGGTTGACTGTACACTTGGATACCTCCCTGTCTTAAAGCCTAGAATAGCTACTCATGTCCGTGGATGGCTTTTAAAAGCTACTGCTAAGGCAACTTTCTTAAACTTCAGCATACTTTAGGAGTGGAGAGGGAAACCAGGAAGAAGTTAGTTCTCACCAGGAACTGCAGGAAGAGTGAGATGTGTGTTCTAGAAAGCTGTTGTCCACAAGTGGAGCTTTTAAGTGTTAGTTCATGGAGGAGAGTGCATATTTAACATGCATCTTTAAGCTGACAGGGGTCAATATATGTTCTTGTCTCTTTTAAAAACATCGACTTTTGGCTGGGTATGGTGGCATATATCCTTAATCCTTGCATGTGGAAGACAGAGGTAGGCATATCTCTGTGAGTTTGAGGCCAGCCTAGTCTACACCGTGCGTTCTAGGCCAGCCAGACCTACATAGTAAGATCCTGTTTCCAAAATAACAGTAGTTCTTTGAAAGCAGGCTCATACCTGGGCTGTATGTATCTCTTCTATATCATAGCCATTGTTTTGTTTAGTGGAAATCAATAAATGATTTTGATTAAAGATTTCTATGTGCGCCTATATAAATTATATACTATATTTTTATATGAAAATAGCTTTTGACAGGTATTTATTTTGTGACTTGTGTTGGTTGGTTTACTTATTGTCAACTTGCCACCTGGGCAGAGAGAAAGTCTACTGAAGAGTTGCCTAGATCAGATTGGCATGTCCGTGGGGCATCGTCTTGCTTGATGATTGAAGTGGGAGGGCTTAACCCACTGTGGTTGTACTATCCTTAGGCCAGTGGGTCTGGGCTCTATAAAGAAAAAAAAATCTAGCTGAGCATGAACAAGGAAGCAAGCCAGTAAGCCATTCCTCCGTGGTTTTTGGTTCAGTTCCTGCCCAGATTTCCCTCCATGATGTACTGTAACCTGGAAATATAAGCTGAATCAAACCCTTTCTTCCCCAAGTTGCTTTTGATCCGAATGTTTTATCACAGAAATAGAAAGAAACTGGGACCACAGCATCCTACAATTATGAAATGCTTTGATAATGTCATTTCTAGTACTGCAGCTATTTTCATTAGTCTGTCAGTTTAGTTGCTGAAAACACAAATTCCTCGTCATTGTTTTATTAGTAGTTGGCACCATGTGTATTCTATAGAATGCCATTTGTTGTCTTTTTCCTGGGGGCTGCTTTTTTTTTTTTTAACATAATGAACTAAGAATGATAAAACACAAATAATATTGTACGGTTTTTGGCATTTCTTTTCAAGAGGTTTAGTGAGTTTTTAAAGCTGGGGTAAACACACATGATATGGACCATCTTAAACTTTGTAACATATACAGTCCTGTGGCATTAAGTACATTCACAGTTTGTGTGGCCGTCATCACCATTCATATCCCTAACTTCATCCCACAAAACAAAACTCTGTGCCCTTTAAACATTAACTCCCATTCACCCTTTTCTCCCAGCTCCTGGCAACCACCACTCTTTCCATGCCTATGACTGATAACTCTGATGCCTCGTGTAAATGAAGTACAGTATTTGCCCTTTTGTAATTGATCTATTTCCCTCGGTACAATATCTTCAGGGTCCATCTATGGCATAGCATGTATTGAAGTCCCTTCTTTTTAAAGACCAGATAATATTCTGGGCCAGAAGGAAAGCTTCTCATGGATAGGAATCTAAAATATTAATACTGGTATATCAGGAATCAAAACGAGTGAAAAAAAAGGGGTGGACTTGAATTTAGATATTGTAGATTGACTTAGTGTTATAGAAGAATGACTTTGAAACATAAGCAAAATATTGATAGCCCACATAAAGTATCTGTTCAGTCAGTGATCGATACCCTGGTTGCTTTCATCTTTTAGCTATTGCTAATAGTAAATAATGCTGCTATAATAGCATGCACATGATCAGTAATATTAGTTTTGATAGAACTTTGTAAAATGCTTTTATTTTCTCTAGGTGGTTGGTTCTAGCTATTGCTATGGTACGCTTTTATATGGAAAAAGGAACACACAGAGGTTTATATAAAAGCATTCAGAAGACACTTAAATTTTTCCAAACATTTGCTTTGCTTGAGGTAAGTTTTTTTTTTTTTTTTTTTTTTTTTAATATGTTGTTAGTCTGCTATGGTGTCTATTTGCAAACACTTCAGTTGAACAATGCAAATCCTAATTTGCTAATTATGTAACACCTGTGGACTTGTGGACTACTCCTGCTGGTGGGTATTTGATATTCATATTATTGACTTTTGATTTCTCAATTTCCCTACAGGTAGTCCACTGTCTGATTGGTGAGTTTTTGCCTTAATTTTGTATTATTGTTTTAAGCTGCCTTTGAGGCAGTCACTAACTTGATTTCTCTTCCAGGAATTGTACCCACTTCTGTGCTTGTGACAGGGGTCCAAGTGAGTTCAAGAATCTTCATGGTATGGCTCATCACTCACAGTATAAAACCCGTAAGTGATGCAGACATGTTGTCTCCTTGAGTCGCAGGGGAGCTTTTCATTCTTAGAGACCTAAAGTATGAATACTACCATGTTTTTTTTGGGGGGGTGGGGGAAGAATGATTGGGCAAAGAAGAGGAGGGCTTTAAATATTCTCCACTGAGAAAGATGGGTGGTCTGTTAGCTTCTGCTCTGTCTCTTCCTCCTGTGTTTTCTGGATGGTCAGGTGAACCCTCGTCTCCAGCCAACCGTATTTTTTTCTCTTTTACAACAGTTCTTCTTAACCAAGTCATTTATTTATTTACTTATTTTTTAATCTTTGGAATTGTCATTGTAAATCACTCATTTGCTTTTCCTTGTTTAGCACAAGGCGTTATAGGAATAGGCAAAAGTCAATATAGTTCCATACACCTGAACGAACAAGCAAAAGACCTGAATTAAAAGTTATAATTTTTAAATCCAAAGATACAAATCTCAGACAGGAAGAGTAAGTTGAAGTGAGCTGTTGTACATGGTGACTACAGATGACGACAATGCCTACTTGAGAATTGTTGACAGTAGATTTTAAGTGTTTACCCAAATAAATAAGAAATATGCCAAGGTAAAGTTCAAGTTAATTAGCTTCATTTTGCCATTCTGTAATGCATACATATTTCAGAACAGCATGTTATGTACCATAAATATGTGCAGTTTAATTTGCCAATTAAAATAAAATTTGAAAGTTAAAGTTGAGGAACTTGGAGGAAAAAAAAAGACACATTATTTATGGAGGCTTGACAGGAGACAGACCTAACTACTGAATCTAATTAGTGCTTTCAACCATGTAGACAAAACAAACGCTATGCAAGTCGCTCTGAGGATGTTGGGCCTTTTAAACCCATGTCAGAAACATTTCTCAGCTCAACCCTTCTGACCTTTCTAACAACCTCCGTATCTCCTGTCCACTTGAGGACAGATCTCTGGCCCCCTTTCCATCCTGCAGATCCCCTTCTTGTCTCCTCTGAGCTTTGGGACTGACACTGGACCTCCTCTCCATTTCCTCTGAGCCTCACTGGCCTCCCGTCTGTGTGGGGACAGACCGCTGACCTTGCGCCCTCTCACTACGCTGCACTTTGGCCCTCACGACTGGGATCTTTCATTCAGCTGACTTGAGCCACCTGTCCCTAACCAGGGCTTCAGCACAGACAGTACTGAGTGCGCACCTCACACACAGCCCCAGGTCTCACTAAAGCTGCTTACTAGTTTAGAAACAGGACTCCCACACTGACAACAGCAGAAAGATGATTCCAGGCAGTGAAGGAATATAATCATTGAGCCAGAACTTCAGAGAAACTGAGGAAGGAGGGAAAAGGAAGACAGAGTTGGGTAGCCAATACTACCTAGAGGGGACTTACTAAAGAGAAGTTAGAAATGGGGCGTTCCTAAGAGGAGAAGAATCTCCAGGTCCTTTCACACCCCAGAGGATCGATCCCTGGATTTTACTATTTGATTTTTATCCAGCAGTAGCTTCCCAATGACATTTATCAACCACTCCTTAATTACTTAAACCAACATTTATTTATTTATTTATTTATTTATTTTTGGTTTTTCTTTTTTTTTT